CGCGGAGGGGAGCTAGTTGGTCGACCCGGCCAGAAAGAAGAAAGTGTTAACTTTTTGGTGGGTTCGCAAATAACCCGTAGAGCTTCTCTTAGCAAGTTATAACTCGTAGAGCTTCCCTGAGCAAGTTGTTGCTGGAAACTTAAGAGTAATTCCGGGGCGCTGGAGAGCTAGTTGGCAAGAAAAATCTCGACGGACCTTTTGGTGACTTTTGGTCGCTTGAAAATTTCGTTCTCGTTATTTGAACATTTGTTAGAGCTCTAGTATCTCTTCCCGTGATATTCGATCTTATTCCCGCTCGCCATCTTGATCTCAGCTCGATCGGGTACCTTTTACTGCCAAAAAGCAGGCAGGCGGGATCGCCCGTTTCGGGTCATCTTCTCACGCGATGACGGTTTTCTGAACATAACTCGAGCTTTGGGACATCTACAGAGCTGGTAAGCACAGCTAATCGATCCAGAATGATCAGGCGCGTTCGCCTGTTGAATCCAGAGGCCTGAACTCGGTCTGCTAGCCGAGCTAGGTCCGCAAACCTCTTCGTATTATTCGAGTCATCTTGAAATACACTCTCAGTTTTCTGTACTTAACTCGAGCTATAGGACAGCTACAGAGCTGATATTTACAGAAAGCGATTCAGAATCATCAGTCGCATTTGTCTGTTGAATCCAGAGCTCTGAACTCGGTCTGCTGCCCGATCTAGAATCGCGAAACTATTCGTATTGTTCGAGTCATCTTGAGAAGTGCTCTCGGTTTTCTGCACTCAACTCGAGCTGGGGGGGGGGGCTACATTTCTGATGGTCACAGGAATCTATTTTAAGTCGTCAGGCGTGTCCGCCTGTCGAATCCAGAGCTCGAGCTGGGCTGCCCGAGCTAGGTTCGCGAAACTATTGTCTTGTTCGAGTCATCCTGAGAGGTGCTGTCGGTTTTCTACTTAACTCGGGCTGTAGGGGGGGTTACAGGGCTGGTAATCACAGGAGTCGATTCGCAGACATCAGACGCGTCCAGCTGTCGCATTCAGAGGTCTGAACTCGGTTTGATACTCGAGCTGGGTTAGAGTCATCTTGAGAGGTGCTGTCGATTCACGCACGTAACTCGGACTGTAGAAGAGCTACAGAGCTCGTACAGAAGACAATCCAGAAGCATCGGGGGCGTTCGGCTGTTGCATCGAGAGGTCTGAAATCGCTTGGGCTGAAAAACTATTCGTTCTCTGCATTTTCCACATTATATATTGTCAGGAAGCTCTACGAGTCCCCCGGCGGTAAGAAAGGTTGACGGTTTACCGCCGGCGCCCAGTTGCTGGAAGCTTAAGAGTAATTCCGGGGCGCTGGAGAGCTAGTTGGCAAGAAAAATCTCGACGGACCTTTTGGTGACTTTTGGTCGGTTGAAAATTTTGTTCTCAAAATTTGAACATTCGTTAGAGCTCTAGTATTTTTTCCCGTGATATTCGATCTTGTTCCCGCTCGCCATCTTGATCTCAGCTCGATCGGGCACCTTTTACTGCCAAAAAGCGTCCAGGCGGGATCGGCCGTTTCGAGATTTTGATACGCGCTGTCGGTATATTGGACTTAACTCGAGATACAGGACAGCTACAGAGCTGGTAAGCACACCTTAGCGATTCAGAATGATCAGGCGCGTTCGTCCGTTGCATCGAGAGGTTTGAACTCGGTCTGCTAGCCGAGCTAGGTCCGCAAACCTATTCGTATTATTCGGGTCATCTTGACAGGCGCTCTCGGTTTTCTGTACTTAACTCGAGCTATATGAGAGCTACAGAGCTGATACTTACAGAAACCGATTCAGAGTCATCCGTCGCGTTCGTCTGTTGAATCCAGAGCTCTGAACCCGGTCTGCTGCCCGCTCTAGAATCCTGAAAGTATTCGTATTGTTCGAGTCATCTTGAGAGGTGCTGTCGATTTTCTGTACTTAACTCGGGTTGTGGGGGGCTACAGTGCTGGTAGTCACAGGAATCGATCCGGAGACATCAGGCGCGTTCAGCTGTCGAATCCAGAGCTCGGAACTCGGTCTGCTGCCCGAACTAGGTCCGCGAAGCTATTCGTATTGTTCGAGTCATCCTGAGCTTCTGCACTTAACTCGGGCTGTAGGGGGGCTGCAGGGCTGGTAATCACAGGAATCGATTCGGAGACATCAGACGCGTCCACCTGTCGCATTCAGAGGCCTGAACTTGGTCTCATACTCGAGCTAGGTTTTCCAAACTATTCGTATTGTTCGAGTCATCTTCAGGGTTGCTGTCGATTTACGCACGTAACTCGGACTGTAGGAGAGCTACAGAGCTCGTACAGAGGACAATCCAGAAGCATCGGGGGCGTTCGGCGGTTGCATCGAGAGGTCTGAAATCGCTTGGGCTGAAAAACTGCTCGTTCTCTGCAATTTTGTTTCGACATTATATATTGTCAGGAAGCTCTACGAGTCCCCCGGCGGTATGAAAGGTTGACGGTTTACCGCCGGCGCCCAGTATTTGAAAGATATTTGACCATTTATTTTGAGAAAGCAGATGTCTCGCACCTGTAAACGATTACGAGGGCCTCTGCGTCTTAATATGAGCTCTGTAGGCGCACTTTTACTACCGAAACACTTGGGGGAACCAACTTCATTCCGACATGAAAAACGCTTTGGCTCTTTGGGCTTCTCCCGCTCTCCCGCTGGCTTTCCTTCCGCTCTCCGCTGGCAGGTCTCATAAGTGGATTTGTTACGCTCTCTTTGCTTACATTTGGTTTTCAATTCATTCCTTATTCTTTGTTGCATTCAAGTCAGTTCATTGATCTTTGAACGTGACTTTCCGTGATTTGTCACGTGGTGCCTCAAAGTAGGCCTTTGATCTAGTCGACACTACACTGCTTTTATTTTCAGTGGTGCTGAGACGGTAATCGCTATATGTGGTTACTGCATGGTCTCGCACTGCCTTTGCTTCCCTCTTTTATTTTTATTTGTCTTCTCGTGTATTGACAGTCTTGTGCATATCTGTACAGCTTCGCTGTTTGATGCACCTCTGCTTTAATCTTTGCAGCTTCGCTGTCTTCCTGTACAGCTTCGCTGTTTAGGTTCTTTGTGTTTAGGCCTGCTCCCATGGGAGCTCGAACCGGCCTTCGCAAAAGACGCCAAAGACCAGGTTGATGGTTCACCGCCGGCGCCAGCCCGCCCGGGCCGGGTCGACCAACTAGCTCCGCCCCGCGCCGGAATTCCTCTAGCTCATCGATGCCGAAGAGCTCTACGAGGTAAAATTGTCATCATCTCTGTAACATTTAGCAGAGCACGAATCGTGTTCTCGACCCAGCTCTGGTAGCAGGCCCAGTCCGGGCTCTAGATACGTTAGACTAGCGCTTCTGGTTAGATCCCTCTGCTGTGACAACCAGCTCTGTAGCTCAGTTCCAGCTCCATTTCGGTCAAGAAATCATCACCATCTCTGAGAAATTAACAGAGTACAGAGCTTTTCGGACCCAGCTCTGGTAGCAGGCCGAGTTCGGGCGTCTAGATAACCGCCGTTATAAGCTTGTATTTACCACATGCTGACTCGTACCTGGCAGACGATGAAGAGAACGCTGGGTCAAGGGTCCCTGGCTCAAGACAGGTCTTGGTTCCACATGCTGTACACGGTGTTTCGTGTTGGCCACGCTGGTATTGCATTTCTCTTGTTTGTGGAAGTCGTAGACATTGAGAGAGTACTAATCATTGAGAAGTTATTGATCACCACATTGAGAGGTTATTGATCACTGAAGGGTTATTGTTCACCTTGTGAAGCTGAAGACATTGAGAGGTTATTGATCATCACGGCGTGTTGGGTCGTACTTCCTTGCGCGCTGTGATTTCGCTGGTGTTGTGGGCCCCCGTTGGTTTCGATGGTGTGGCCTCATGATGTGTTGTACTCTGCTCAGTTTTTTTGTACGTGTATATAGTTTGATCGGTCTTCGACATTGGAACTCTTGTGGAGGGGAAGTGTCGCGTGCTGGTTGTGTGGTCGATCGCGGAGGAGGCGTTTGGCCTGGATCCGCGGTCGTCTGTGTCGGTGTGTCACTTGAATCATTGTCGGTGAGGACCCTGTTCATTCTAACGTAAAAGACTCTCGGACTTGTTTGGAGTGCCATTCTTCCGTTTGGCTTGCTACTTGCTGCCTCAAAATAGGTCACTCGTAGCCCTGTTCGGCAGTGCAGTTGCCTCAAAGCAGGTCGCTTGTATGAGATCGTCGTTCTCTTTTTCCTTGCTCATTGGAGCCTGCTCGCTGCCCCAGGAGGGCCTGCATACATCGTGTGTCTGTACCCTGCCCAATTCATGCATGTTGTGATCGGTACTACTGTTCACTTTTCGGCCTCGTTTGGAGTGCTTGACGTTGCGTGGCGGCGTGACAGGGCCCCTGTTAGTGGGGCCGCACAGGCGTGTGGCTGGTGGTGGGTCGGGGTGTTTTGCCGGTGCGATCCGTCTCTCTGGCGTGTCTTCTTTTGGTGATGCCTACGCCTATCGGCTCGGCAGGCCCTTGATGCCTCAGCTTCCTCGGCAGTGTTGCAGTTTTTATTGGCTCATCGTAAGCCCGCTCGCTGCCCCGTGAGGGCCTGACCGCGAGACCGCAAACCGCACAAAAAAATGGTTGACGGTTTACCGCCGGCTCCCAGTGCGAGCCCACAAGGTCTCATCGTGTGAAATTTGCAGTGCGTTCGAGCTCGATCTGGTTTCGCATGTAGGTCGGCGCGCAGGGGAATCAGGAAACTTCAAGCAGAAACCATCGAAACACGATTGCGAGTCTGTGCGCCGCGCGCGCTTTTCAAGCAGAGCGTTCTGGTCGATGGCGGTCAGCCAAGGACTTTCGATTGGAAGGCCGCAGCCAGATTCTGCGAGCCAGGAAATTCCGATTTAGGAAGTTGGTCGAAGCTGTATTCTGGAGATTCCGCGTGGCCTGAGCAAATGTGGCATGGTTCTCGTTCGATTGAGACCCTCGTGAGGGTCTGACCTCACCTCCCCCACCTTCAACTCTGACCAACGTGCAGGGCAGTCTGGGGATGTCTGAGCCTGAGGCCCAGGCCTGGCGGGCGTCGATCGCCAACGGCATCGCCAGCCTGGTCTCCAGCGTAACCCAACCTTCGCGCTCTGCGACGGCAAACGAGTTGTCGAAGCAGTGCCCCGCACCGCAGTCAGCGGGACCAGAAGCGCATGCTGTCGCAGGTGATCCAGCAGAAAGTGCTGGAGCAGCTCTTCCTCAAGAAGTGGTATCCAGTCCTCTTTCAGTGCAGAGGACTGACGGATCTTATCCAACCAGGACTTCCCATGCGACAGTGACGTGACGGCCATGGTCGTGGCTAAGCGCCTCGTTGCTGGTGGGAAGCATCTCACCATCGTTGAGTTCGTTGGTCGCAGTCTGACGGTGCTCAGGGAGCGGCCCGTCGCGCCGCTGGAACTTCCAGGATATGCTTACCAGGCCATGTGCCCAGACCCAGTGGACAACCCAATCATCATAAACCTCGACAATGTTGCCTCGGTGGGGAAGGGCGTCAGCTGCATGTCCACGGCCAGAACACTCAGGTCCGATCCTACGGTGGCAAGGGCATTGTCACCGCAGCGACTCCATCCTGCTCTGGGGGCGCCACCACCTAGTGCCTCGAGCCCCCCGCAGGCTGTTGTTGCTCGGCCCATGCAGTTCGACCTGGCGGGCTCCGTGGTTGCTGCTCAGCAGGCGGGTCTCTCCCCTCTGCAGACGATGAGACTGGCGTGGCAGGCGCGCGGGTTTTGGGCGTCAGCGTGCTCGGTGCTCCCTTCAGGCCACCTACGTTTCGCTACAACAGCGACGGGAGGCATGGCGCTTGGACGCCTCCTGGCCCTCCAGTTGGAGCGGCGTCGGCGGTGCCGCCTAAGGCGTCGGCGCCGCTGGCCGATCAGGAGACGAGCGACGTCCTGGGCGGCGGCGAAGCTGCTGCTGGGCGATCAGCGTCTTTATTTGCAGCCCTCAACGAGTTCAGTGGCAGCAGCCCACTTGCCTCTGGCAAGACTGCGCCCCGCGCAGACGTGCTGGCAGTGGGCGACGATCAGGAGGAGCCTCTGGCAACGGCGAAGGCCAAGGCCGATGCAGATCAGAAAATAGCGACCGACGGCGCTGCAAGGGACACGGGTGGCAAGGGCAAGGGTGCGGCCAGGATGAAGCGGCCCGCAGGCGCAAGCGAGAAGTCGAAGGCCGTCATCGCCATTGGGTTCCCCAAGATGCCGAAGGGCGGGAAGTTCGCCAGGGTGCGCGGCGGGGAGGTCCTGGGTTGTGCGAGACGCTGGGGCTGTAGAGTGCGGCCGGAGGCGGGCGTAGACTGTAGAGAAGATCGTTAGGTTTGGGCCAAACAATGCAAATTCCTTGGGCAGGCGTGCGTGCTGATCTGATTGTGCAGCCTTGTGTCATGCACTTCGGATGTTCAAAATTAGACATTCGTTGCTATCGGGTTTATCTTCGGATCCTTTTTCTGATCGGCCCGTGAGGGGAGTGAAGCAGCCGTGAGCACAACCACAATGATAGGGTGTCCTTGCCTCTGACAAGGCAGGGTCGGAACGCTTTCAACTGCCATTATCAAGGTCGCGTCCAATCGTGATGCGTGGGCGATTGCGATTGTTTTTTTCCGGTGCATCTGTGAGTCCATCATCCACCTGTTGCATGTCTCTTGCGCCCCCTCCCCATTCGCCAGCTCAATCGCCCTTGGACGTGCCGTCCATGGGTTTCATTGCCCTCGTCCCCGCTGCCCGCCCCTGGCTGGCAACAGAAATACGCAACTCTTTAGGCGCCCCGTTTCGTGCCGATGTCCGCCAACGTCCGATCGCCATGCTGTTTGATTTAAAGTTGACGGCTTTCGCCCTTCCCGCTTCTTCTTTCGGGTCCCCCTCCAGACTTTGAAAACAAACAGTGGGGATCTGGAGATCCACTTGCTACTCAAGTGGGGGGGATAATGGGGGGTAGGGCGAGGTCATGGGAAGGAGAAGGATGAGGACGAGGAGGGGGATGGGCAAGGTCAGTACATAGTGTGAAGCTAACCTTGATCAGATCGAAAGTTTTGAAGGGGTAGCGGCGACCTATCCGTCGAGTCGAGCCGTTTCCTGCTCTTCCTGATGTTTGCGTCGTGCTCGACTCGCCGCAGTCGCAGTGGTTGCGACTGTGTAGTCAAGGCTTGTTATGTATCCGAGTATACCCTGACGCGCGTTGCACTTGGATTGTGAACTGGCCCCCTTGCCCACAAATCCAGGTGTCCTTTGGGGCCGCATCCATGTCCCCATTCCCTCCTCCTCCTCCTCGTCCATGCTCCCTTCGCACCCCCTCCTTATCCCCGCCATAAGAGAGCGAGGGGGATGCTGTCAACGGCAGCGATCGTCAGTAAAGGGGGGGTGGCACATGAGCACCGATAGGAGCTCCTTGAGAGCGCTGTGACACGTCCGATTGAACACCAGAGCTGGGCACCCGTCTTCGCAGCCATGTCCGTAGCCATGGAGAAAGCTGGGAATATCGCAGATTAAAGGAGGTGAGGTACTCGCTGCCACATGTTTGCAGGTCGCTTTAGCCGCCTATTTTCAACATCCGCTGCGGTTGAAGTGCCAGCAGTCTTTGCGAGTCTTTTTCTTGGGGAGAATTGCATAACGATAGTACTGACGCAGAAGTAGCGGCTCCGCCTGCGTATCTCTTGGCGGCTGCACGGTGTGGGCGGTGTGCCGCCTTCCTGCGGTGCGCATGCGTGAAGCGCGTTTTATCGGTTTCATATCCATGGGGGAGTGTGCTAAATCCAGAGGAAGCGAAGCCTGGGAACGGGCTCTAAACCGAAAGCCGCCGCAGCGCGCAGGCTGTATGCATGAACGTATTTAATCTTGGCTCCGCCGTTTTTTCGAAAGGGGACGCGTGGCTGGCAGTGGGGGCCGTGCGGTCTTGCGACATCAGCGAATGCGAAGGCGGTGTGTCCCAGTTATTCGAGTTTGTTGCTGAACATGCTGTTCAGCAAGACGTCCCACGCCTTGATGCGCAGGCGTCCAGTTAGACCTTCGCGGAGGTGGTCAAATAAGATTGTTTGCAGAGCTTGGGTGCTGAGTAGGTGATGAGAGCGCTCTCCATCAACTTTGGATGAACAAGGGCAGCGTTTGTGCGGAATGTTGCATGCATTGAGTAAAGGTAACAGGTAAGGGCTGGAGGGCCGCCCCGCGTATCGAAGGCCATCGCGTTCTAAAGCCGCGCGGCAGCGTGTATTGTCATTCGGATTGTTGGCTGCGCTTCAGGGAAGCTGCGCTGGGTGCAATCGAGAAGCTGGCGACTGCCAAATTCATGTCTGGGAGAGGGGAGGTTCAAAGCATGGGTCAGAAAGCAGGGTGGAAGTGTTCCGAGCATAATTTGTTGGTCAACCCCTGGCTGAGGCAACTAGTGGATCCGACGAGTCATGGCGTGTTCAATTGGATGCGCGTCTTCCTACAGGGGCTGTGGCAATAGCTTGCGCGTTTCTTTCTTGGAGATATGCCGAAGTCCAAGGTCGAGCCGCGTCGCGTGCATGCGTGGTTGAAAGGGGTGGTGTTGGACACGCGGAGTCTCTAGTCGGGCGTGCGCGGGCCTTGATGCATTTAGCGCGAAGAGAGCCGACAGTAGTTGGACAGCTGGCTATTAGAGGGCAGCTGCCTCCAAATGCTTGAGCCTGTACCATGTCTTGGCGCACTACGTACGGGTGGTTAAATTCCCGTTCAGGCTTCGCGACGCTGCCTGCAGGGCGATGATCGCATTGTCCAGTGTGATCCACATCGCGTGGTCAGAAGGTAAGCTTACGATACTGCCTGCAGTTGTCAGCCAAGCACTTGATAACTTCATCTCGGCATGTCGCTTGACGTGGGTGGGCGCATGCATCTGGACAGTGCGTGCTGTCTGGCATTTTCGAGCTGTTTCGAAAAAGCCGGGTGAGCTCCCCGCGCCCTCCCAATGGCGATGCAACGCAATGTTTTTATCGTTATGGAACAGTCCAGACTGAATACACGCGGACTACCACCAGGTAAGTTATGACCAAAGCGCTGAATGACTTGAGAAATGCAGAGCGGCTTAACCCCAGCGTGGGCAAAATGTGAGCCACGCGTCCGGCTGGAAGGCTTCATGCGTCTTGGCATGGACATGCACGGGTGGCAATCATATGGCAGCCAGTAGAGCAAGGTTCAGTAGGCACGATGTTGCATGGATCGGAGCTTTTGTAGCGATCACTGCGGCCCCGTGGCATTTTTCGTCAAGGTGCTGCGGTTCGCGTGTAGCAGTGACATTGTATGCGCTTGTGTCAGGGGTTTCTCCTTAGTGTCCAAGATACAGTAGAGCTAGCTCTGTGTGGGAAGTTTAGACGGACCTCTTATTGGTAGAGCTTTCGGGTTTCCTGGGTGTCCTGATCCGCCAGGTCAAAGGGGATGAGGTCAGTATTTTGCACCCGCTTGCTTTGGCAAACCTGTGGCGTGCATGCCTTTCTGGAGATTGCGCACTGGGTCTGCGCAGCGGTGAACATGCTACTGCTGCTGCTTCCTTCTCGCTTGCCTCTTCACTTATGTTTCCTCGTTGGCTTGCTTGCGTTGGCTGCTTGGGTGCCTATTCTTTCCCTCCTCCTTGCTTGCGCTGCCTGAAGTAGCTCGTTCAACATAGAGATACAGGCTGACGCACGCCGTCCCACTAGCGGACCTCAGCCCAAACTCGCGAGGCAACGCGATCCTGATAACAATATTTGGAGTTACCAGTACAGCAAATCAAAAGTGCTTCCAGCACGTCCTTCCGCGTTTGGCATGGTGTAGTTAGCCTGCAACAAGGGACATACAAAAAAGGTTTAGCGAAGCAGGTTAGCGACCGTTTGCCAAACAGCCCCCAAGCAGTAATCGAACAAAACGCAGTTATGATTAGCTAATGAGTTAGGGAACTCGCGGCAACTCCCCGCTATCCCAACCCAAACTCTGGACCCCCACGACCCTTCCAGATGGGCTCCCCCAGAGGCCCCCTCAGGAACTTCGCGCTAGCACGCAGCAGGCGATTCAGGGCGTTGACAGTTGGCCGTCTTCGGCGTTCAAGGCTCGTGCGTTCTTACCGCCAATTCTTAACTATAGACGTTGGTCGGGGGGGGCAATAATCATTTACTTGTTGTGGTGTCGTGCGGTGCTAAAGATACCGCTCCGCCAGTCTGCCCCCGCGAATTATTTCCAACCCTCCTCCCGCCTCCCGCCTCCTGCCTCCCGGCTCCCCTCCTTGTTGTCTCCTCTTGCCTTGCCTGGCGGGCTGCGATCTGCGAGACTGTCGCCACTTTCGAGGGCTGCTGGTGGGTCCAGCGGGGTGAGGTACCGCGCGGATCTGAGCGGGACCTTCCCGTCTTTGGGGGGCTGCGATCTGCGAAATCGTGGCCACTCGAGGGCTGCTGGTGGGCCAGCGGAGTGAGGCACCGCGCGGATCTGAGCGGGACCTCCCCGTCCCTGGGTGGCTGCGATCTGCGAACCGGTCGCCACTTTCGAGGGCTGCTGATGGGTCCAGCGGACTAGGCACCGCGCGGATCGGAGCGGGACCTCCCCGTCCCTTGGGGGCTGCGATCTGCGAAACGGTCGCCACTTTCGAGGGCTGCTGGTGGGCTCGTCACTTTTGAAGGCTTCTGGTGGGTCCAACGGAGTCAGGCACTGCGCAGACCTGAGCGGGGCCTCGCCGTCCCTGGGGGGGCATGTCATGTTGTTGCGACCCCGCCGACGTTTCAAGCCCCTTGCCCACCGTCTCCTTTTAGACCTTGCGTCTTCCTTAGTGACTCAGGGGTCTACTTAGTTACTCACCGTTTTTCCCTTGACAGGGGACCTGCGAACCTGCTGAGTGCCGCTCGCAGAAGTATATGCGTCCATGTCACGTCGCCGCCTTCTCGTCAAGTCTCTCAAGCTACTCCTGCCCCGCATTGCGCAGGGGTTCGGTACTTCGCCAGTGTAATTCATTTTCGTTCCGGTGCTCACGATAGCGTGGGCAGCCTCCCTGGACGGAGATCTCGCATGCTGTTGGGCCTTCGGGGGCCTCCTGGGGCGGAAGCGTGGGCAGCCTCCCTGGACGGGAGTTGTCGCATGGCCTCCCGGGGCTTCCCGGGGTGGGAACGTGGGCAGCCTCTCTGGACGGGAGTTTCGCATGGTCTAGGGCCTCCGGGTGCCTCCTGGGGGCGCGAACGTGGGCAGCCTCCGTGGACAGGAGTTCTCGTATGGAGTTTAGGGCCTCCAGGGTTCTCTGGGGGTTTCTCGGGGTGGGAGCGTGGGCATGGTGTAGGCCCTTCGGGAGCCTCCCGAGGTGGAAGCGTGGGCAGCCTCGTTGGACAAGAGTTTCTGCGTCCGCGGGCTTCCCCGCGGAGTTTTTGCATGATGTTAGGCTGCTGGGCGCCTCCTGGAGCGGGAGCGCTCGCATGGTGTAGGGCCTCCGGGGGCCTCCCCGGGCGGAGGCATTCGCATGGTGTCGGAGGCCTCTGGGGGCTTCCCAGATCGGGCCTCCCGCGTGGTGTCGGGGTCTCCCGCGTGGTCTGGGGTTCTCCTGCGTGTTGTCGAAACATCTCGGAGGTTCCCGCGTGGTGTCGAGGACGTGGGTGGCTCCTGAAGCTCCCGAAGCTCCTGAAGCTCCTAAAGCTTCTGAAGCTCCTGAAGCTCCTGAATCTCCTGAAGCTTCTGAGTCTCCTGAAGCTCCCGAAACTCCTGAAGCTCCCGAAGCTTCTGAAGCTCATGAAGCTTCTAAAGCTCCTGAAGCTACCGGAGCCTCCTCTGCAGCTGCAGAAGCTTCTGAAATTCCCGAAGCTGCCGAAGCTTCTGAAGTCCCTGAAGCCCCTGAATCTCCTGAAGCTCCTCAAGCTTCAGAAGCTCCTGAAGGTGCCGAGGCTTCCGGAGCTCCAGAGCGTCAGGAGTATCAGAAACGTCGGAAGCGTCCGCGGAGCTCCTAGGGCCCAGAGCGTCAGGAGCGCCAGGAACGTCAGGAGCGTCAGCAGCGTCGCGAAGCTTCTGGAACCTGGAACGTCAGGAGCGTCAGCAGTGTCGGAAGCTTCAGAGGCGTCAAAGCGTCGGAGGGTTGGCGGCACCGCCTGCCCCATAAATCAGCTGTGAGGCGCATGGGGAAGGCACAGGCGACCATGGAAGTCACTATGAGTCATGTATGGAATTATCAAGGAAGGGTTTGAAGGCGAGGTCGAGGGGCATGGATGATTGTGAGGCCTCGGTTGCCGGCGAATTTGCGCGGCTCAAGGGCGCAATGTCGGCCTGCGATGTGGCTTGGGGCCTGAGGGCAAGCTCGCTCCGAGCTGTCCGAAGGCGTGGAGAGGATTGGAAGGGCACTTGGTTACTGCGCATATCAATTAATTACCATCGGAACGTTCAAGATATCCAGATGCTTGCGGCAATTTCGCCACCATGCCAGCGAAGCTCTCGGGGGGACTCTTTGAGCACTGCCCACAAGGCTGTTGCATGTGAAACTGCCCGTCTCCGCTTGTTGAGGAACCATCACGGGGAGTAGGCCGTTTTGGGGCTGTCTTGGGCTCCTGAGGCAGTAAGGGGTTCCCTTGAAACCCTCTTGGACCGTCTTGGGGCCCTTCTGGGTCGTCTTGGGGCCCTTCTGGGTCCCTTTTGAGCCGTCTTGGGATGTCTTGGCCGTCAGGGGGTCTCTTCGGGCTGTTGGGGGTCCGTATTGGGGTTTTCTTAGGCCGTCTTAGGTCCCTCTGGAGGCTGTCTTGGGCCAGCTTAGAGCTCTTTTTGGGCCAGCTTGGAGCTCTTTTTGGGCCGTCTTTGGCAGACTAGAGGCCCTGTTAGGGTTCTCAATGGGCCCTTTTGCGCCCTCAACGGCCGCAAGTGGATCGATCTTCGACCGACGGGCGTGGACATCAAAACACTATTCAAACAAAGGGGTAAACAGAGCTTTTGGCATCTCGAGGCTGTCGTCGGGAGGCCTCTTGTGGTTTTGTGGAGGCTTCTTAGGTGCTGTTCGGTGCCTCTGGAAGCCGTGTTGGACCAACGCGGCAGCTTCAGTTGCTTCCCTGGGCCATGTTGAAAGTTTTGTGTGCAGATTTGGAGAGCCCCAGGGAGGCGTCGGCGCGTCTCGAGCAGCCGCGGGAGAAGGGAAACGTGTACGGAACACTGTGTGGCGAGGAGAGCGGCTCACTTGTAAATATTTGTTTATACCTCACCAGACAGCCCTTGGCCTTCGCGGGAGGACCGCATCCCAGCGGAGCCCTGCGTCCTTGCCATCGGCCTTGCGTGGCGGCTGTCCGCTTGCTGCTAGTTTTCGCGGTCGTGCACTGCTCTGGCTTTCACTGTATACCGCAGCTCTCAATGTCGGGGGTTTGGTCTGGGTACTTGATTGTTTGGTCTCTCCTCCTGCTCCTCCTCTTCTGCGTCTTACTTAGAGTGTTTTCGTTCGGTCCCTTGGCATCCCGGCCCCGCAGTCACCACGGTGCCATATTCAGTTAGAGCGATTTCCATTCTGATGCTTGTCCGCTTGTCAGGCAGTTGCGTTCTTTCCTTCTCGCTTAACCATTTCCGGAAACCATGTGACTTTCATAGTTGTGTGTATATCCATACCTATACCCAGACATACAGAAGAGGAGGAGGAATGAGAGAAGGAAGAGAAGGCAGGAGGGAGGCAGTAGGAGGCAGAAGGGGGATGAGCAGATAGGAGAAGGAAAAGATCTGACCGCAGTCCTGTATTCAAAACGAGCACCCAACCAAGGAGGGTTGGGAAAAAAGCAGAAATCGGCCAGTTGGGCACGCGCACACTGGACCGTGGACTCGTTCACTCAAAGTGTGCGGGGGGTCAGCCGCCTTCATGGCTCTAGGGAATTATTGCTCCCGCGCCCGCCCGCCTGGGCAAAAATCCCAAGCTGAGGACGTAGGGGCCCTGTTACGTCACGAATGTGACCAAGGCGAGAGCATCGTGGCCCGAGGAGGCACAAAATGGCCCTACGGGGCACGCAATCAGGAAGCAGGAGGGGCGCAAGGCGCAGACAGCAGGCCCGGGGGACGGAACGCTGGCGATGGCGGGCCCCCTTCCTGGCCAAGCCAGGCGCACTTTGTAGAGACACCACGCGCTCAAGCGTGCAGAAGAGAAAGAAAGAGAAAGAGAGATAGAGAAGGAGATAGAACAAAAAAGAATCGGTCGACCGGGCACGCGCAAATACATACAGAGAGGGAGAGAGCGAGAGGCAGAGAGAGAGAGGGAGAGAGAAAAACAATGAATCGGTCGGCCGGACACGCGCACATACATACATGCATGCATACATGCATACACGCATACACACATACACGCACACACATACACATACACATACACATACACATACACATGCGCACGTGCAAACGAACATACATGCATACACACATTCATACATACATACATGCATGCATGCATGCATACATATATGCATACTTACGTGGGACACATTTAACATGTTTACATACACACACATGTATACATGTACACATACATACATACATGAATGCATGCATACATACGTACACACATTCATACATACATGCATACGCACAGACGTACACACATACACGAATACATACATGCACATACGTACATGCATACAAGCAAGCAATCATACACACAACCATATATATATATATATATATATGCATGCACGCATACATGCATACATGCAGAAATGCAGGCACACGTACTTACCTACTGTCATACATACGCACATCCATACATTCATGTGTACACACATACGCCCATACATACATACGCATGCTTACATACATGCATGCATACATACACACATGCAGACACACATAAGTACATCCATGCATGCATGCATACATCCATACATACATATACACACATCCCTCTATGCATCCGCTGGTTCTCTTGTGGGGCCATCAAGCTGTGGGACGTAGTTACTGCTCCCTGTGCCAGTTGTAGTTTCAAGTCTCCAATGTTATAGTCCTGCTTTCTGCTTCCTATTGTACATCGTTGAATTCCGCGCGGGGGGAGACAGCCGAAAAGGTTTCGGTTAGCGTCCCCCCGGGGTCCCCAGAATTCCTGGGGGGGCGCGGGAAACGTACAAATACTTGAGAATCGCGCCCCGAGGCCATAAACCCTCGTAAAGTACACCGTATTCGCGTTCCCGAAGCAATGGACCTTTGTGTCAATTACACTATGTCTGCGTCCCCGAGGCAATGCACCTTCGTAATTTGCTCAATATTCGCGTCCCCGAAGCCATATACTTTCGCAATTCTTGACGCCAACGTCGACGTCGACGGCACCCCAGTCCGCCTCGTCTGCGTCTACCTATCACCAGGTGGCAAGACCGAGACGACTCGCGACATACACGAAGCCATAGAGCCTTGGGACGCTATGCCGACTTACTGGGGCGGGGACGTCAACCTTCAGTGCTCTCACCCAAGGGAAGGTGAGCTGGAGGACGCCGCTGCCTTGCAGGCCCTTCTGGGCAGTACCGACTCCTCAATTGTCCACGTCGACGGCCCCACACGGGCGGACCGCGACCCCGAGTCCAGCATTGATTTCACAGCCCGCCCCACTACGGTGTTCGCCAGCTACCAAAGGAAGAAAGCCTGGAAGTCCTCGCTCTTTGACCATGCGATCCTCTACTTGGGGACCCCGACGGTGCTAGGCCGGCCAGACGGGAACACGTTCTCACACCCGCAGAATTCAGGAGTCTCCCAACCGAGGCACACAGGGACCTGCGAAGACTGTATGCCTTTCTCGAGCGAGCTTTTGAGGTCCTTGAGGTCGACCTGACTGGCTTGATGCAGTCCGTCGATTGGACACGACCCGCTGCGGCGGGGCTTATGCCCGACCAGCACAACGACGTCGACCTCGGGGAAGAAATAACACAGGAGGAAGCTCCCAACCATGCAGGTGCACCCCACAAACCCGGCGTCCCTCCCCCGATACTCCCCGCCGTCGCCGAGCTGGGAATACATGCTCTTTCCGCCGGACTTAGTCCTGGTGGAAACTTTGGCTGCGCAAGACCAGAAGGACCAGCCCAGGCTCCCTGCTGGCCGATGCGGCCAAGAATCCTCGGCCCGACCTGGCGCAGATCGCACGACATGCTAGTCTGGATCGGTGAGAAAGCAGGCGCTGAGACCCCCGACGACCTGTGACCCCTTCAGCTCCACACGTGCATGTGGCGACTCTGCAGCACTACTCTGGCTGACTTCCGGGGCCCCAAGATCGAGCTTCTCTTGAGCAGCGACCAGGCCGCCAAGAAAGGCGGACAATGTGGCCCCAACATCCGGGCAGCCACCACCTACCTGGAGAATGTCCCAGTGGACCCTGGGGTTCCGGGGCCAGCCTGGAATGCCCTAGGACGACACCTCCCTTGCGTGGAGCAAGACATTCGCAACGTCTCTGAATGCATGCCCGCCGCCCCAACCGTATCGGTTATCTTCTGCGACCAAAGCAAGGCGTTTGAGCGCATGAGCGCATTTCCATGCAGTGGATCAGCCGCCTGCTCAGGAGGTGGGGGCTCCCTCCCTGTCTCCGGCAGTCGCTGCGCGCTCTATTTGTTGACTGATGGGCGCAAACCACCAGAACCAGGAACAAGGGGCCACGGCGGCGTCTGCTTCGCTCAGTCGGCATGGACGGCGCGGCCTCCCCCCTCCTTTGGCGCGTCGGGTACGACCACACCATCGCGGCAATTTCAAATATCAGCAACGACCGCTGCCCGACCTACGTCGACGACCTCGCTTCATTGGTGCAGGCAGTGGCGCAGGCTTTGCGGGTCACCATCGCGCTCCCGTGGGCGGCGCGAGCTTCCGGTCTCCGCCTTGACGTCCATAGGTGTTAGGGTCTGCTCATCACCGGCAGGGGGCCCAGGCTAGCCGCCCTCCTCGCTGATCTCCCTGTTGACTACGCGAAGGGCGGCGACGTGCACCGAGTTGCTGGTCTTCCATTCCCTCTGTCGTGCGCCCTGTTGCGCGACTGCAAACAGGATGAGGAGATTGCATGCGCCGAAAGGTCCTGCCTCTGCTCATGCAGCTTCAAAACCGCCGTCGTACCTGTCGGGGACCTCCCCGGGGGCGCACGCTTCTGGGCCATGGCCCGTTTGGCGGCAGCTGCGTCAAAACAAGCTGGCCCTACCTCGGCGCCTCAATCGCGTCTCGTGCCGTTGACGGCCCGCCGCCGCCAGGGGGCAGGTTCACCCAGCCTCGATTGGCCATCCTACTGCAGGGGGCCCGGGGCAAGCCGCTACCAGAGATCACAGACCGTGCAATTGCACTGCGCTTCGCCAACTTATTAACCACGAGGACCGCGGCCGCGTGGAACGCATTTCCAGCTCGCTACT